TAGTAGCTAAAAATATGTCCTCGTACTTGGTCTAAAAACAATGGTATAGATGCATCCCTAATAATCTCTGAAGTATATGTAGACTACAAGTAGATATCTGCCAAAGTTTTGCTCCATACTACTATATTCTACACCTTAAAGGCCTGAAAGGACTTTCAATTATATATATTCAAGACCGATTCTGTAAAATAAGATTAATACATTAAAATACATTAAACAATTTATCAATGTACATCTGCAAGCCCTGTACAAGAATTTACAAGAATTTTAGCTAACGTAAACGCCTTTACATGATATCAAAATGAACCAATTCAAATAAATCAGAGACTGTTGTATTCTATGTGCTATATATTATTGCAATGGCTAGAAAATGGCAGAAATGATGAGAACTATGTCACAGAATACTTGTGATCTGTCAAGCACAGCAGCGCACACAGCCACTCACACATTCATGCGGCAGCAGAGCTATGGAAAGCCAAATGGTCCATACACGCCTCACGTAATTATATTTAATCTGTAACCAAATTCCTTTTAATGGGTACAAATTACATGTAATAAAGACACTTAATGTACTGAAAAACAGATATAAAAACATGTAAACAAGGCAAAATTCATGTGCACAAATGACAACAACAACAAAAAAAAACTTTTTTCTCACACTAACTGTAATGGCACACGTATGCAGTATATTTAAAAGTATCGTCTGCAGAACTAGCTACAGCTAGATGTTATGAACCTTGCTTCTCTGTTCCCTGCAAAGCTACGCCACCAAAACACAGCACATGCAGTGCCAAGGCTACACCGCCTGAATGCTAGCAAAAGGGGAAGCTTTCTGAGTCGACAGGTAACATGACTGATATAATAAATAATATAAATAGTAAAAGGTAGTATAAATATCTCCTTATGTTAATTGGCTGGACGTAGTGATGTACATCATTTATTTTTTCCCATATACTGAACCTGAGGTACCACAGAGACCAGAGATTTTGTGCTGAACTGATGTTTTATCAGTGCAGCTAGAACATTGGGATAATTTTACCAAATATTACAAAATTTCTGAATTAAAAAAAAACAGCTGCCCTCACCTATAAGGGACAAAAATCACCATTTGTAGCACTTTGCACATCCATCCATCCATCCATTTTAGGTACCGGTTATCCTACACAGGGTCACAGGGAGCCTGGAGCCTATCCCAGGGGACTCGGGGCACAAGACAGGGGACACCCTGGACGGGGTGCCAACCCATCGCAGGGCACAATCACACACACACACACACACACACACACACCCATTCACACACTATGGGCAATTTGGGCAACGGTGCTAACCATTAAGCTACTATGCCCCCAACTGACCCCCACCCCCCACCCCCCGCATACCTTGCAAATATATTTAAAGAAAATTTTTTGGAAGATTTTTCACTGACATTAAATTTCTCAATTTTCTTCATTTTTCATTACAGCTATGAGGCTCGCAATGGTAATGGCATGTAATGGCAAGTAATGGCAGTTTATCACCACAAATCATTGTCAATTTTATTACATTTTTAAATATACATTTTGCTATTTCAACTATGGTGTATAAATTATATTATACATCCATTTCTGAATGCAGTTTGAATGATAACAATTGATGATCATATTCTTACATTATGTTACAAACATAGATCCAATGCAAATATAAGAAACAAGTTTGGACACCAAAAATGTTTGAACCTAATTTGAGAAATGTGATTTTTTTTTTTTTTTTTTTTTTTTTTGTTATTTGATCCTGGTCAAACCTTTCCTTTAAAATCACAATGGAGCTCGTTATGCATTTCTGCAAGGTGTCACACTTTTAACTATACAAGATATGCAAAACTGGTTGGATTTGGGTTTTCTTGGGAATCTTATCTAATCATGAAAAGTGTGCAAAGTGCATTTCAAAACAAACATGAAGTCACACCTACTAGTCTACGATCAACAGTAGAAGACTTGTATTGCCTAATATTAATTTCTTCCCCATCCATGCATACAGTGACGTGGTCAAAAAATCAGAAGTGGTTAAAGGGGAACAAAAGTGATAGATAATAGTTTTCCCACATGTAATCAGACTTATGAACACCAAATTACTTGACAAACATGATGACTGTGTTAATGGCAGTATTGTGATTTGTGTTCAGGATGAAATAACCTCTCTTTGTGCTACAGTCTTTTTATTTGCAGTGCAATAGTCTGTATATAGTATTCACTTCTTTTCATAGCAAACATTATATCCAGGCCTGCTGTGCATATCGCCTGAGCCTGGGAAAAACTATTTAAAAAGGGGCCCAAAGAAACACACACACATCTACCCAACCCATGAAGTGTAAACAGTTCTATGACCAGGACCAGGGAAAACCTTTTTCTCTCACATTTCTCTCATCATAAACACTATGCACTGCTAACGGCACCGTAATCCGAGTGCAAAGACAATATTTTTACGTTAAGCGTTTTCTCCCACAAAGAAAAGCGTTATAAAGAAAATGCTTAATGTGGCTTAGTGTACAAAGACAGTGATATTAAAGGACTAAATTCAGTATACACCTTATTGATGATGCATACTATATATACATCATCAATAACCTAGGTTGCCAATAAAGTATTGTAAAATTTACAGTAAATAACCATAAAACATATACAGTAAAGTACTGTAATATCATACATAATATAAATTAACACATAACCCAGTGTGTTGATACAGCTGAGCTGAAGGGCCTTGCTCAAGGATCCAATCCAGGCAGTTTGGTGGTGTTGGGATTTGAACATATGACCTTCTTATCTGCAACCTGAAGCCATAACCACTGAGCCACCACAGCTAGCACAAGTATCTTACACTGATTCATTGCAATCATTTAGTGGTGTTAATTCAGTGCTAGTAGTAGTTGAATCAATCAATGCAAGCTAGTTGCGGTGGTGTTGTGGTGTAGTTGTGGTGGCTCAGTGGTTAAGGCTTTGAGTCACAGCTCAGAAGGTTGTGTGTTCAAATCTCAGTACTGCCAAGCTGTCATGGTTGGGCAAGACCTGTAACCTTCAACTCAGCTGAATCCTGCATCAGCCAAATAAGCAAGTGTGCTGGGTTATGTGTCATATCATAGAACATTAAGTTATTACAGTACTTTACTGTAAATATATTTTATATATACAACCCACATTGCCAGGAAATTACTGTAAAATCTACAGCAATTTATTACAGTGTATGCATCATCAATAAGGTTTATACTGAATTTGGTCTTTTAATATCACTGTATTAATACATGAAGCCACGTTAAGCGTTTTCTTTATAACGCTTTACTATGTGCGAGAAAACGCTTAATGTAAAAATATTGTTTTTGCACTCGGATTATGGTGCCGTTAGCAGTGCATAGTGTTTATGACGAGAGAAATGAGAGAGAAAAAGGTTTTCCCTGGTCATTGTTTCAGTTTTAGTGCATTAATCCACATTAAGCGTCTCAGAATGTCCCTATGTGCATCAGTGGAGTTATTCTTTTTTTTCCTTTTGATTTTAAGTACGCAATGTGATTTTGAGCCGTTTATGATCCTAATGGCCTTCCATATGGAGCAAGCAACCAAATGTAACATGCGGCTTGCTTATGGGAAGGACCAGAGGGGAAACCGGGTTCTCTGCCGCACCGTTTCGTCAGAAAGCCAAATGCATTTGAACTGCATTAAGTAGGTCCGGCATCTCCTGATCGATACACACACACACACACACACACACACATACGCGCGCGCACACACACTCTCCCTCTCTCTCTCTCTCTCTCTCTCTCTGTGGCGAAGCAAAGCTGCATATGAAAGGTTTTCTAGCCGGATCGCTCACCCGATGTTGCCGAGCGCCTGCTCCAGCAGCTCCGTGTGTAAAATGTTCTGGGGCGGCGTGAAAGCCCCGTTAAAATGGGACAGAACCGAGCTGCAGAACTGACGCAGCGTCTCAAACTGCATCCTCGTGTCTCGAGCGCACGCTGATCTTCCTTCTTGCGTCCTGGAACACGCGATGCGCGCGAACGATCCTCGCTCCACGAGCCCCCGCACTATCTCCCAGGCAGCATCAGCGCAGCGTCGCGCCTTGACTCCACTATCCCCCCTGAGCTCAGTGTCACGCGCTGGACGACGCGGTGCTCTTCAATCATCGTGCTCTGAACTCCGACCGAAAAAACATCGAGTCAGAAACACCGGGATGTCCGCGAGGCATTTCCGAACGGGGCAGCATCCCAAAAAAAAAAAGAAAAAAAAAAAAACCCATCCCAGCATTTCAACCCCAGCTCCCTCCCTCCCTCCTCCGCACCTCCCTCCATCCATCCATCCCTCTCTTCCTCCCTCCCTCCCTCCCTCCGCACCTCCCTGCTACTCCTCCTATTCGTTACCGCGAGCGCTCACGAAAACGCGCAGTGGGCGCCAGCTCGGCGCGTGCGCTCTCTCCGGGTCCAGCGCGCGCCCTGTGCACCGTGCCACACGAGCCAGGAACGCCGCGCGCGCGGACATGCTGTAGTGTACTGAAGGGGTGTTTTTTTTTTTTTTTTTTTTCACCTAAAAGCTTTCCACCGTGCGCTTTGAATAACACCTTTGCTATGATTTCTCTCCACTTCAGTCTTCAGCTCAAACGCATGACCGGATGCGTGAATGGATCCTGCATCCGGTTGCGTACTGTTTACGTTTCACGCGCCATAAAGGTCAGTGACCTCTGCCCTGCGCAATAGTAGTTTGACGCAACTACTCTAGGTTTGACCATGACGTCACGGCCTGACTCCTTAAATAAAACTGGAGGAAGGTTGGTTTGGTTGTGTTGTGCAACATCACCATACAAAGAGGAAATTAACAACCCACTGCAGGGCACAATCACACACACACAATCACACACTACAGACAATTTCGAAATGTCAATCAGCCTACGACACATGTCTTTGGACCGGGGGAGGAAACCGGAGTACCCCAGAGAAAACCCCCGAAGCACAGGAAGAACATGCAAACTCCACACACACAGGGCAGAGGCAGGATTCGAACCCAACCCTAGAGGTACGAGGCAAAGGTGCTAACCACTAAGCCACCATGCCCCCACTTTTTTTTAGCAAAATGCCTTCCAAAATGTTTCATACTTAGTTTATATTATATATTTTTTTCAGATAGCCTTTAAGAATGCCTTTGACAAAAGAAGAACATACTGAAATCATTCTCATGGCTGGATCGGGAAGCTGTCGCAAGCTTGCGATGGACTTTAACAGGAAACATGGCAAGAACATCACACACAACACTGCTGCCAAACTTATTAACAAATTCAAAAAGACTGGAAGTGTTGAGGACCAACAGAAAAGTGGACGTCCACGAACATCCACTGACGAAGGCACAACCAACATGGTGCTGGTATACATAGTCCCCTGTGTATGGAGACTTTTGGGACATCCTGTATATAATTAAGGGTCACAAAAACACAAAATACAACCGAGATGGCGATTTTGTTCTCATGTGACGTGGCATAATTCTCTCAGTAACTTTTTCATTACAGAAAAGTTTACATGAAATTCATACGTGGTTTTTTAGACGCTTCACATGTCACGTGTCACATTTTTTTCACATTTTATGCATGTGTTTTGTCTGTATTCACACATTTCATGTATTTTCACCCATGTGGGTGTGACCCATGTGGTTTCTTATTTCATTCATCCATCCATCTATTTTCGGTAAATGTTTTATCCTGGTCAGGGTCGCGGTGGATCCGGAGCTTATCGGGGGAACACTGGGCGTGAGACGGGAATACACCCTGGATGGGACACCAGTTCATCACATGGCACCAAGCACACACACATTCACACACTCATTCAGACCTAGGGGCAATGGGCTACTTGTGACGTATTTCCGTTTTGGAGTAGCACGAATCTCGCATCTCCGGCAGCACTGCTTACATTCAGCAGTACAGCGAGACAGCAACAACAAATGTTTGGGTTTTTTTTCAGTCTAACAATAAAATCATAGTGTTGGACTAGCACAGGACTTAGCATAGGTGTTCATTTCTATTAATAGGTATTTTCTTACCTTCGTAGTTGTTTATGCATGACGACGAATGCAGCTGGAGCTGCGCAAGTGTTCTTAGATATATGATAAATGTCATTGAGCTTCTGCAGACACCGGGTGTAAAAAAAAAAAAAAGCCAGTATAGTGGACGAGCCAGAAGCAGAAGTGCAGTTTTGGTTATAACATTTGTGTAAGTAGCCCGTTTCGCATAGCCAGTCCCCTTACACGCATGCTTTTGGGAGGTTGGAGGAAACCAGAGGACACGGTGGAAACACAAGGAGAACGCTGGGGAGAATGTGCCGTCCTGGTTTTACACATCAGATGTGATTTTCTCACATGTGATGTGATCACATATCATTTGCATGATGTCACGTGCTTACTTGAGCTCAGAGTATCACAAGATGTAATGCACCATCACGTTTTTCATATATTACTCATATAATCCCACTATCCACTGTTTTTTTAAATGACATTACTATTATTGGAAAATGCTTTGTAATATTAAAAAAGTAACTTTATAAATATCTTTATTTTCTAATAAAGCAGCATAAAGCAGTTTCTGTAAACAGGTCTTTCATAATAGATCGAAATTATTTGCTTATCATTACCTATATTGTCATTAAAAAAAAACCTTTGACACCAAGTAGGCCAATTCACTTTTATTTTAGGGGTATGATGCGTGTTTTCATGGCAACGTGTGTTTGTGAGGATTTTGGAGTAGGATTTGGGCATAAGTAAATAATTTAAAGTAAAATAATTTTGTCTGAATGTTTTAGTATTTTAATAAATTATTAAATAATAATAATAATAATAACAATAATAATAATAATAATAATAATAATAATAATAATAAATGTGTGCAAAATGCTTAACCACAACGAGCAAAAATAAATAAATGAATTAAAAAATCAGCCAAAATTCAAAACTTTTCCTAAATTCACATGAAAAATATGGACCTGGCAACAGTGGCTGTTTTTTTTAATTCAGTGAAAGAAATTTCTTCACAGTACACTGGTGTGCCTACACATGTTCCCCCTGCATAGGCTTCAGAATCTTCCTCAGAATGGACCACACCATAGTTCTTGCAGTTATCCCACAATCTCTTCCACTACACCTTGTTGGAAATGAAAATGAAATCGACTTATCGGACATTTTCAATCAGTATAAACAAATGAATTATTTTATCGCCACAAGTCTGTTATAAGATTAGTCAGGATACTGTTGGGTTTCTGTGTGTAGAGTATAGTGACCTTGTGTTTAGCTGCTGGTGAGCAGGGTGATGGGGGAGGGGTTTGAGTCCCCTGCTGGGCAAACAATTCACACCTCTCCACAATAACACTGGTACAGAGATAAAACAGACAGCACAACTAAAACTTTTGATTGTAAAACACCATATACAACTGCCATAATAAAATTATAATATTTAAACTTAGTAGGCTAGGGAAAAAAGAAATACTTACGAAAAACTACAAATCCTTAAAGCCCAAAAAATGATCTACTTATGGCTACATATGAGCCATTACCCACTGGTGTGGAGTGTGACATCACAAATAAATTCAATGCTGAACACGGGCACCCACAAAACAGGCGGAAATTCCATTTTTTGGCTTTTGGTAAAAAGAGTTAATATTGAAGTTGACCTATAACCTACAAATAACTGGTTTGTCTACATGTTCCCCCTGCATAGGCTTCATCCTCAGAATGGACTGCACCAAAATTCTTGCTGTTATCCCACAATCTCTTCCACTACACCTATAGATAGCAAATTAGCTTTTCTGCAAAGTGACTCGAGCTCGTCCTTGTGCACAAAGCGTAGACTAAAGGCTATTACATAGTGTAAGATGCCAATGAAGGACAAACCCGTGACCCATATAGCACACTGCATGCCTTAATGTAGGTCAGCCAAAGAATTAATAGAGGAGACAGAAAAAAAAATTATGTAATGACAAATTACTAGGGAAGTCCAAGAAAAGCCCAAGAAATAAATATAAATTGATATTTTCTATGTTTTATATTTAAATATATTTAAGCTAGAGCTGAAGACATTGTACAACCTAGTCTACTATACAAAAACACAGCTGAAATGGATCATGCTACATTATTATGTACATGGATATATAATATATAATGTATATTATCATGCTAAATTATACATTGGGCTGATGGGAAATAGGGTGCATTTGGATAGTCATTTAACCTTGGCTGGAAAAAACACATAAAGATGGATTTTACTGATAAATCATAGCCATTAACACCATAGTTAATGGTCAAAAAACTAGTAGGCAGGAACTGTATGTCTCACATCATTAAATTATTAAAATAAATCAAGCTGGAATATTTTAATAAGCCTACTACTTTTCCAAAGCATCGCTGGATTGGTCATTCTATTACTCATCAATAGCTATATTTAGGGGTGAGTGATATCTAAAAGAATAAAACACGACAGATGACAGGGTGGAGTGATGCAGCCCAAGGTGAAACAGAGTTACCATTGTTACCACCTCAGAGTTGATTATTTTCCAAGAACAAGACCTCCCGAAGTGGTTTATTCCTCTTACACAACAGCAGTTTGCTGACGATTACATTTTTTACTTATTAAAGAGCTATAAGTCATCATTGTTAACCATTTATAGTTACATGTAATGTTGTGGAACATCCGCAAAACATGTTACTTCCTGTTATCACTTACTTTATAACAGTTATAAACAGCCATTCCTTCACCAGCCTCTTTTTTTCTCTTTCTTGAAGACAGAAAAAAAATGCAGCTTGTCATGTTACCCAGAAAAAAAGACCTGAATACTCTCCCATGTTGGAAAACTGTACGTCTGTGTGCCCATTATGTTTTATTCCTTACATATCACCTGTCTTTTTAAAATTATTTTTATATTAATTGTGGTGCACATGCTTCTCAAATTTCTGCTTGTTTTTATTTCATGTATTAGGAAGCAGCTGATAGTAGCCATAATGTATACACTCAGTTATAAAACATATACAGATTACCGTATGACATTTGTGTGTTTTATAGTTAAACCAAGAAAAAATGTGAAACTGAGGCTTTTCGTCCATTTTGAGAGCCAAATGCTGTTGATTGTGGATTAAATTAAGTACGAACTGAATTTGTGAGAGCGGCTCCGGAGGATGGACAACACACACCCTAAGATTCTTGGATTTATAAAACTAAAACCTTGAGCCACTAGACGACTTACAACAAATGCAAACTTGTTTTTTTTCCACTTTAATCAGATTCACTGAGTTTGACCAGCATCTCCCTCAAAACTCTGACTTTCTGAAAGCTCAGCTGAAGTTTTCAAGCTTGACAATGTTGTAATTATTGGCTGTTATTTGTGGTGAGGAGAGACAGGTGGGAATCTAATATTAGCCAAAGCCTCCCCAGGGCTTCTCGTGAGACAGGTGCTGTTTTTAGAACCTATCCTACCATCTTATACACATTTCTCCAGATGCACGATCATTCGGCCACAAAAAAAGACTCCTGAGTGCTGCTTCAGCATTTCACACATACTGCTTCCTGTCTTAGTCGATGCTTCTGTCACTCCTTCAGCACCATTAACTGCATCACATAGGCTATTTCAGTACACAGGCCCAGCTATAAAAACATACAAAGTTATGTGTTCAGTTATGATAAAACGTCTTATTTTAAATAAAAAGCATCTTTTAAGATTAAACTTACGATTCTGTGTTAATTAATGGAAATCTCAGGACTACCAGAGAGCTTGTGGTGTTGCTTTAAGCAAAAACGCTCAGTCTCGTTTTGGATAAAACCATCTGCTAAATGAATAATTGTGAATATTAATACCAGGCCTTGAAGAAAAAGGAGTCAGTATCCATATGCAAGGCCGTCACATGAGCGGTTGTTCTTGTGAAAAGGCCTGGCTTGTTGGGCGTCATGTTTTGCCTTGCGCTAATATAACAACAATGCATTTCACAGATGGTGGGAGGAGGTGCTGATGGAAAAGAAGTGTGAAACCTTGAAAGATTTCACAGCCGTAATTAATTTTGAATCCTAGCGCAAATCTTGGTTCTTCCA